TATGTATGTATGTATGTATGTATGTATGTATGTATGTATGTATGTATGTATGTATGTATGTATGTATGTATGTATGTATGTATGTATGTATGTATGTATGTATGTATGTATGTATGTATGTATGTATGTATGTATGTATGTGTTTGTCTGTCTGTTTGTTGTGTGTATGTATGTATGTTTTCGCTCGATATATAAACGAGCCAAACAAGAAAAAAATTTTGTTTGTTTGTGTGTGTGTGTGTGACGTGGTAATTCGAATTGTTAGGCATATTATGGGTGATTGGAGGCTCATATAATAACATCTGACCATTCCTTTATAAAAAAATAATCTTACCTTTAATTTCCTATGGTTGTGTGATTAGGGTTGTCAAAATATCTTATTGTTTGTGAATATCTCGTGTTATGCTCAATAAGCAAGCGAACAAACACAAACAAATTTTTTGAGCTCGACAAATAAAAGAGTCGAACACGAACAATAATATTTTTTTACAAACCGAGTCAGAATTGGTCAAAGATCGGCTCGTTTACACCCCTAACAGCTGCGTGCATGACTAGAGTTGTCAAAATGGTTTTTTTTTATGAACAGCTCTTGTTCGATTCGCTAAACAAACGAGTCGAACACAAACAATTTTTGTGTTCGAAATAAAAACGAGTCGAATACGAGCGGTGACATTTTGTAATGAGTCGAACACAAGTTGAGCCTCAGCTCGCTCGTGTTCGACTCGTTTACACCTTTAGTATTGCATATACTAACATAACCTTTGATTTATAAATTTTAAGAAAAATTAAAATATCATTTTACTTATAATTTATATTATCTCAAATATTCAATTACTCATATTACAAAAAAATTTATTTAACTAAAATATCTTAATTATTATAAATTTCAGATAAGAAAAGTTAGAATAAAGGAAATACCTTAATTGTATTAGAGGTCACCCTAATTTACTAGCAAGAACAATAACTGGCGTGTCTTTGCCTACACTTGCACAAAACCGCATGGTAAAGCTACATGTGTCACACTGTTGACTTTCGTGCTTGCTGGCCCAAGAAAATTTCTTCGTGTGCTCGTCTCAATTAGGGTAAAATTGCAGAAGTGTGCCCATCGATACTCTCACGATATTCCCTCTCCTTCCGTGGTCGGCTTGGTTTGGCCTTGTCTCCTTCCTTCATACAGAACGCTTGTGCCTCTCCTTTTGCAGAGAAATATGTGTACGTAAGACGTACGTAGGGTTGCGTACATATTAAGTTATTAGGAGGGTACAGATATGTTAAACTTAAGTTATACCCCTTGTAATTCTTCCTGTAACCTAAATGTAACCTACTTGTACCCTCCGAATAACCTAATATGAAAGTGAGTTCATTCTTCCTTCTGTTCCCCGCACTTATTGTCGAAGTCTTCATCTCGCCGAGCGCATGAAAGGTTGCCCTAGATGCTCTTCCTCCTTTCTTCCTTCTTCTTTGCCTCCATCTTTTGCTCTTCCAAGCCCAACTCCTGCTTTTCTTCTCTTACTTCACTTCCCTTTGTTTGTAAGGCTAGGGTTACCAAAATACAAATGTTATAATATTCCTCACTTATAGAAATTTCATGCTCGAAATTTATAAATCTACCTCAAGTTTCAAATCATTGTATGAAGGCATGAACTATCCTTAAATTTTGATGAAGTTTAGATCTCATTCATTATGATGAATGATTGATACAATAAAATAAATATTTCATACAATATAACTCAACTAAATTATTCTCATCAACTGAAACAAGATTACATAATATAGATAACATCACATTACAAAATGTAACATAACTAAAATAATACACACCATTTGAAACATAATTACATAACACAAGACAGTCAGTGTGATACCTTTATAACATGGAAGAAAACATAACACGCCTCAAACCCGCTCAAACCCTATTATCACCAACATCAAGATCAACATTTGTAGCAGTATATTCTTCCAGCTCCTTATGTGAAAGGGCATAAACTTGGGTCATACAAGTTTTCTTAGTTGAAATTAAGTTAGAGTTGAAGTTGTTGAATCTATCATTTTTTGCCCATCTGCAACCTTCTGTGAAGAAGTTCCACTTGATTATGTTTTTCTGAAGTTTGGTGGCAAAGTAAAGGGTAGTATCTTGTTATGTGACCAGGCTTGCGACGCCAATAGTATATGT